TAGTTAGAACAAGACCACCTGTCACTTTATTTAATTTAACTAGAAAAGCAGAAAATCTTGCAATTAATATCTGCAAACCTGTAATAGCCCTAGAAGTATGAATGATAGGTAAAGATTAAAAAAATGCATATACCTGCATGCTTAGAGTTGAAGTTAAAAAATGTTCTCAGTTGTATTTATAAAGCCATGTCTTACCAAAAGGGAGAAAAGCCTTGTTTGTATTTATATATAGTTAGAAGCAGCAAATTATAACTGTAAGCTTGAACCTGAAGAAACTAAATTATTTCTGATATGTATTTTATCAATACAGTAATTTAATGGTTTGCATTCGTAAACAAGAATTGTGTAAAATCTCACACTGGTTGTATTTTAAGTATTTTGTATTACCTCAGAACAGTGATTAAATTCAAATTTTTTACTAACGGTTCTATGGGCGTGACTTGGTGGGCATGGCTTGGTGGGCATGGCGGGGAAAAAATACTGCAAAATCTCCATTCCCTCCCCACTCCAGGGGAAGGATATTGCAAACTCTCCATTCCCACCCCACTCTGGGTCCAACCAGGGGCAGTATTTGCTGGTTCTGTGAACTACTCAAAATTTCTGCTACCAGTTCTCCAGAACCTGTCAAAACCTGCTGAATTTCACCCCTGCCTCAGAACATAAAAAATTCTCTATATGCTAGAAATCCTAACTATAAAATATAAATAAAATTATTAACTATTGTAATCTTATATTGCAAATATATAAAATTACAGTTCAAATATAAGTTTCACAGTATCAGTCACAAATATATTTTGTCAAACTTTGGGTGATACCATATTTCCAACTTTACCGACTACATACTTAAATGTATTTCTTAAAATTGTTTTTAAATTATATTTTATCTCATTTTGAATTGTTTTAATGGTAGAAAAGTTATATAATAATAAATAAGTAAATAAATGATGAAAAGAGAGAAAGAGTACAAGTCTTATACTATTATTTCTAGGCATATGGAAATATAATAATGGATATATTGGATATTATAATGGATATAATAATGGAAATTATATATCCATTATAATGGAAAGGGTTATTTTTTGTGCTCTTTTCTAGCTTTCATCCAGATACAAAAATGAAGATAGAACACATATACACTGAAAAAAAATATGATTTACATTTTGGTATGCACATAATAATGGATTACATTCATAGCAATTATAACAGATTTGTCAGATGGGTCATTCTTTTATGAAGAATCATATTTGTATTAAATGAAATACAGCTTGCATTATAGTTTGCATTGCTCACCCAGACCCTAAAAGATACTTTGAATAATTTCAACTTTAAATCTAAAAATATATTCTTCCATTTTTTTTCATTAATTGACTATGCAAAATTAAAAAGAAGAACAATGGAATAGTTAAGAATAGAGAATAGAAAAGTTAGGAAATATAGAAAGGTAACAAGAAAAAGTGAACATATCTAAGACTGACTACTGCTAGAAGTAATGATGTATTCGAAAACTGATCACAGGTCTGCAACTAAAAAGCTGTTTGATTATTTTCATCTAATTTCCATGTATTTTGGTGTGCTGAAAACAAATAAAATATTGAAAAAACTCCTAGATGTCATGATTTGCCACAACATGCAAAATTGTCTTCAAATTTATCATTTTTTAAATTTTTGGTACTTTTTATATTAACGGTTTTTAACTAAATTTAAAGTGCAAATTACTATTAATTAATTCACACAAGTGCATTTAAGATATAAAATGCCAAAAAAACCTTAAAGGGTTTGTCTGAGTTATGTAAAAAAATATAGCACTATAAATCTGATGGTCAGCAATAAATACATAAGCTAAGCAAGTTTTAAGTCTGTGCTTCTAATGGTAGAGGGGGTTAATATTCCTGAAGAATCTGGTGGGAGGGTGTCACAGGGCAGATAGCAGCATCTCCAGTATCTCCAGCAACTGCAGGGGGTGTGACCAGCACTCCTGTACAGACACATAGCTGCTCTCTCCTGCATGCCACACTTGTGCACGAATCATCATCAGGTTCTTGGTTCTAGGCTGTTCACACTTTTTCATCGCAATTCATGTTAGCTTGTCATTCTTTAACCATTATGTTATGGCACCGCAGAAGTGTATTAATTCACCAGACAGTTTCTGTTTCACCTGTGGTGAATATACAGTGTTGAAGCAACAGCAGAATATTACAGACTTTGTAAAAAAAGTATACTTTGTATACTTTGAAATAAAAATTGGAAATCAAGATAAAGTTTGGGTGCCTTATAATGTGTGCAAACGGTGTGTTGAGGACCTCCAAAACTGGTTCAAGGGTAAGAAAAAATCTTTCCGTTATGGGATTCCTATGGTATGGCAAGAGCAAAAGAACCATAGTGATGACTGTTACTTTTGTTCATGTGATGTGAAAGGGTTTAATTCCAAATGGAAGCATTCCATTTCATACCCCAATCTTCACTCAGCAATTCGTCCCTATCCCCCATGGCACAGATATACCAGTACCCAAGCCCCTGCTACCTTGGAAGAGATACCTAGCTCCGATGAAGGTGAAGTCATACCTGAACCAGATGATGAATCAAGTTCTGACTTTGGAGATGATACAAGACCAAAAAATTTTCTCAGGAGGAGATGAATGATTTGGTAAGAGACTTGAATCTTCCCAAAGATACCGCTGAGTTACTCGGATCAAGGCTGAAAAGCAGGAATTTATTGTTGCCAGGAGTGTCATCTTCATGGTTCAGACATTGTGAAAAGGAGTTCACCCAGGAAGACAAGTTGGTTTATCACATTGAGGTCGAAGATCTGATGGGTCAATTTAAAATCCGATATCATTCAGAGCAACGGCATTTTTTTAATAGATTCTTCAAAAAAAAAGTTTCAAAGCAGTTTTACTCCACAACGATTTTTACGCTTCCATACCTGTAGGTCATTCCGTACACTTGAAGGAAACCTACGATAACTTGGAATTGGTTCTTCGTAAGCTTAAATATGAAGACCATGGTTGGCAAGTGTGTGGGGACTTGAAGGTCTTGTGCATGCTACTCGGGCAACAAGCTGAGTATACCAAATACTCTTGTTTTCTGTGTCTATGGGACAGTCGAGATCGACAAAACCACTGGACCAAGAAGAGTTGGCAGCCGAGGGTGCTAACAGTCGGAGAAAAAAATGTCCTCCAAGAAACTTTGATACCTTCCCATAAAGTTCTTCTACCACCTCTCCACATAAAATTGGGATTGATGAAGCAATTCGTAAAATCACTTCCAAGAGATGGAAAATGCTTCAAATACTTGGTCTGTCCATTCCTGTCGGAGGCAAAATTGAAGGAAGGTGTGTTCGTTGGACCAGACATTAGAAGATTTACAGTTGATCAAGAGTTTGTCAATACCATGACGGATCCTCAAAAAGAAGGGTGAATTGCATTTAAAGAAGTCGTACAGAAATGTTTAGGCAATAACAAAGATCCTCACTACAAAAAGATCGTCGGAAGAATGCCGACGAAAGCATTTCAAGCTTTAGCTTGCCGATGAGTTTGAAAGTGCATTTCATCCAGTCCCACCTTGACTACTTTCTTGAAAATTTGGGAGCTGTGAGTGAGGAACAAGGTGAACAATTCCACCAAGACATTAAAGAGATGGAAAGGAGATACCAGGGAAAATGGAGCATTACAATGATGGCAGACTACTGTTGGATGCTTCAGAGAGACATTCCAGATGCTACTCACAAGCGAAAATGCACCAAGAGGAGCCTCACAAGGAAGAAAAATCTAGTTTAGATTCTAGTAGGTGAGCTTATTTCAAAAAGGGATTTTCATGAAAATATTGTAATAAAACTTTAATTTTATAAGTCTATTTCCATTTATTTTGAGGTATTGCCTTATTTAACATAGTTACCTAAATTGTCAGGAAATGTGATGTCCTATGACAAAATAGAGGTCATTTTCAGATTCAGCGCACCAAAAAACATAAATATTACATGGAATAACCAAAACAGCTCTCAATTATTATTATTTTTGCAGACCTGTGTAATGGATCAATTCACATTACATGGGATATGATTCTGTGCTGCAGATATAGTATCTGCCACATTTTAAAGATAGCAAGAAGATGAATTGGCAAAAAACAGATGTAAATTTTTATGTTGATAGCAAGGAGAAAACTTAACAATCTGAATGGAGGTCAGCTTTCAGTTAGACAACAAGTCTAGAACCCAATACAGGAATAATTCTGATGCCATGAGCTTGGAATTTCTCAGTTATATTTATTAGACAAAAGCTAATGTATAGTTAAGTAAGTTTAAACTTAACAGAATGTAAATTCTCTATGAGACTATGCTGTCAGAAAAAAACTAAGTATGAATTTTATTCATCTAACCTGAAGCTATGATTTATAAAAACAACGGAAAATTAATCAAGACAAATGTAGTTTATTTCTTGAGGAACATTGATATAGGAAACCTGTTTCTTTCTTAAACAAAATACAATGGTAAATAAATTATAGATAGTGAAATGATTAAGATAGCTCTGCTAATTTGCTGTTATTGTAGTAATTGCTTTTAAAAATTATTTTCTTATTACTTTCACAAAGATATTTATCACTTTAACAGCTGACAAATTGTCTACTTGTTTTATTAACTAGCACATACTAGAATTAGGGTGTCAAGTTTTAGAATAGCATGTGATGAATTTGTGTATAATTTGCCTTTTTTATAAACATTGTTCTATTTAAAGGGTTATTTTCTAAATGTCCTGATGTCATATTTCTTTCATTATATAGTAGCATAAGGTTTGGCTTAATAATAAGGCAATGTTACATCCAATGGTGTACATTTTAATATAGTCATTAGCAAGACTTCAAACAACTACATTAAATTACACAAATGAACCCTGAGATTAAGAAAAAGTTGCAAGATGATATGGATATACATGATCTGAACCAATGAACTGTGGCCTGAAATGATGTAACAAAATGGGCAGCATTAAGTGGAAGGTTAAACCTACTTGCATCTCGGTTCATTAAACGCAGTTAAAGTGCAAATTCCCTCATTCTGACAGTAGTAATCACAAGGGTTCACTTTCTGGTCACAGCGCTGATTTTTAAACCCCACAGAGCATCTGCAGAATTTCAGTAAAATACAGCTAAATAAATAAATATTCTCCCTTTGGTTTTTTTTTTTTTTTTGCTGAGTATCTTTTAAATGCAAATACATAGCTGATAAAATGAACAATAAGCAAATATGCTCCACCTGATCATGGTAAGTCCAAACTATTAGTGTTCATTAAATCTCACTGATAGCTTGGAAAACCAAGCTAATGTGGGTGCAATTCTGCCAAGCACAGAACAGAATCAACGGAATCAAGTTGATCCCTCTTCTATTGTGGCAGACAACAAGTATGCACTTTGTAGTGCCTGACAGTCTGTCTGTAACCTTCAAATATCCCTGGCTGAATGTTACCTAAATTCTGAGTTATGTTTCGGACCAATTGAGTACGCTGACATTCCACATGTAATAGTGCCCCAATTTATCAGGTTATTATCCAAGACAAAGGACAGAAGTTAATAATTCCATATGCTGTCACTGCACCCATATTAGAATTATGATCCTGCCTGAGGAAGGCAAATATAATCTGTTCTCATGGAAGCACATGTTAAATTCCTTAGTTTTTAAATAATTTGTAATAAATAAACACATTTGTTTATTTATCACCCAACAATGATGCATTCAGAAGAATATCATTACATCCAAATATCTGACAATCTTTTCTTATAACAAAACAATTATGGATTCTTTTAATGAGCATTCTAAGTGCAATGACATTGAAATGTTTCACATACATTAAAATTAGGATACTCAGTTTAGACTTATTTCATACAGAACCATTTACAAGAGTGAAATGCACTTTTATAATTACCATAACACAATTGCAATATATGTTTAAAGACTACACATCAAAAGGTCACATCATTTGGATAACTGTGATTTAAGAATTAATTTAAAATTTGGGTTTTAAAGGCTTCCTTAGTACAATACTATTTTTGCAACATTGCAAGTGTTATTCATAAATATGTTAATAAAATATATATTTATCTTTGAACAATACAATCTATATAATAATTAAACATAGAAATAGTATCATTTAGTTAGGTATGCCATTCTCCTATCCTTGCCATTGACAATTGTCAAAACCAAAGCCAAACCTGCAGCAAAATTTCATTATCACAGCATCACTCTGAAAGAAGAAATTATATTGGCAAAGTGGCATTAGGAATCATGTAGATATAAAAATGCCCAAATTATTTCATAATACTCACAGACAGACAGGTATATTTGTCTCTATATCCAACTTGCAGGTTGCACCATTGTAGCAATAGCCATCACATAATTGGCAGCTGGATGCAATTTTTCCATTTGTGCAGCTATGATTTGTGGGAGGAAAACATGTCACTGTTAACTATGCCATTGTTGATGAATGGGGTGCTTCAGTCATTCTTTTTTTTTTAATAGCATGTTAAATTACTTTCTTTGGTTAATGAAGAAAGCTATTACAGGCTGCTCATCTTAAATTAGCATGGTTACTCAATCAATTATATGTTTGCCATGTTCAACAAACTATGCAGCAAGATCAGAGGTCTTGGCTTGGGGAGTAGTTGTTATAGTAGATGTTGACAATTTCGTTGTTTACCACCAGATGAGTGATTCTAGTGACCAGAAACAATAGCTTTACTTGCTTTTAATATCCTGATAACTTAAAGGCATGTATATTTACACAACGTGAGATCTTTATCTCACTAATAACATTATTATCAAGGGAGTAGAAGTATGAATGATTTCCATCTCTGTTTCCAGTGATAGTTTAATAACGCAGAAGTAATGAAAATAATTGATTGTACAAAACCCACCACAGAATATTGAATATGTTGTGAGGAAGGTTAAAATATTTGGAGAAATGGTGGGTTTGAAAATAAATAAACAAAAGATGGCAATACTGACCAAGAATATGAATGTGGAAGACCAGAAGAAATTGGAAATTAAAACTGATCCTAAAGTTGTGAAAAAGGTACAGTACTTGGAGCTGATTCTTACTGATAAAAATTCTAAGCTATATAAAAATAATTATGTTAAAATATGGAAGGAGATAAAATCAGATTGAAACAGATAGGAAAAACTAGATTTGTCATTGATGAGAAGAATTTCATTAATTAAAATTAATGTACTTCCTAGAATGTTACTTCTATTCCAGAACTATACCGATATTGATTAAATATTTTTCTTTTAAACAGTGGCAGAAAGATACTGTATATCAGGGATGTAAAACTGGCAGCTTGTGGGTCAGATGTATCATGCACAGTCCAGGCCCACTCCAGCTCCACAAAGGGAAAAACATCACAAAAATCATGTGACTGCAACGTGACACCGTGAGTTTGACACCCGTGATGTATATCTAAATTTATTTGGGGAAAAAAGTCTTAAATATAAGCTTTTACAGGATGCTAAAGAAAGAAGTAGTCTGGGTTAAATTATATTATGATGATTGTTGTTTGGTATGTTTAAAAGATTGGATAATGTTGAAAAACTTAAGGTTGTTAAACATTGAAGATTCTGATTTGAGAATTGGATGGTATGCTTACTTGTGATATGACAAAGTAAAAGTTAATCTTAGGTTTAAGAATCATATCGTTAGGCAATCAATTGGCCATGCATGGTGGAAATATAAAAAAAGATTGGTTGACAAAGTGCCACTTTGAATATCACTGCATGAAACAGTACATAGAAAAGAGATGTTATTGGAATGTAAATGGATGATGTATCAGGATTTGAAAAAGGGGAACTTAAGATAACAAGAAAACAACTAGTAGGTGAAGGTTTGTTTGAGATTGGTGCAATTATTATATAATTTTTGAAGGATTTAAGCTTGATAAAAAGTTTTGTTTTTGCAACAATTAAATCTGAATTAGATATCATGTTCTGGAGATGACCACTTGATTGCTAAAGCATATAAAAGTTACTTAAGATGAATTTGGAAGAATAATATGTCAAAGATTGTATGGTAAAATGGCTGAATTTTTTTGCATGTAACATAATACTAGATAATGGAGAATGTATGGACCAATGTTTTAAAATTTACTTGGAATGATAGTTTGAAAGAAAAATTTTATAAAATGTTGTATCATTGGTATTTGACCCCAGAGAGAGGAGCAAAAATATATAGAGGGATTTCTAACAAGTGTTGGATTAGATTAGATTAGATTAATTGGAAATGTAATCAAAATCCAGGGACATTTTATCATATGTGATGGTCTTGTAAACATGTTAAAAAATACTGGATAAACATAGTAATGATAATAAAGAAAATATTGAAAATATAAATATGAATTAAACCTGAAGCTTTTCTTTTAGGCATTATTATCGAAAACAGTTTGGGACACTTTTTTTACACGGTGACTGCTGTTAGGATAGTACTTATGATTGTACATGGAACTGGAAATGAAAAGATGTGCCAAATGTTGACAGTTGGGAGGGGGTGGGGTGGAAATTCGGAGGGAGAAAGTTTTGATGTTTTTGTGTGCATGTGCACTTTCACAAATGCAGCTTTGCACATGTGTGCACATGTATGTGCTCATTTACCACTTCCGTGGCCTGGTTCTGAATTGGATTGTAGCCTGGCACTGGGCCACGGAGTGGGGGGTTGGGGACCCCTGGACTAGATAACTTTCCTGGAAGCCATGTGTGGACTTTCTATATGTTAAATACAATAACAGATGGTTAACAGAGAGATTTGATGATTAGTGTAATCGTTGAGATAATCTGTTGACTTTTTTTTTCTTTTTTTACATATATGTTATGATTAGATGTTGGGTAGACTTGATCATTGGACAGAGACTTCCTCATCTGGAATATTTATTTAATACAATAGTTTTGTTAAAAAAGAATAGGAAAGGTTACAATTATTTGTAGACACATTATATAAGGAGAGGAGAACCTATCAGGTTTTTTAAAATTTACTTTTCAGCATCTAGCCGGGGTGGATTTTTTAAAATCCAAATATTTTTTTAAATATTGTTTTTATATTTATGTTTAATGATAATGTTTCTGTTTAATGTTACTATTTGACATTTAAGATTTTCTTTCTTTTTTGTACACAAAATATTTTTTTCTTATTGTTAGTGTTGGATGTTTATTTTTCTATTTTTCTGTTTTGTATTTTATTCTTGTTGATAAAAGAAAATAACTTTAAAAAAAGAAAAAATAATGAAAAATGTACTATCCAACGTATGTGATCTTCATATATTCTACAATAGCTATTAAAGGCCAATAATTCTTCTAAAATTGGAAGTAATACTTGGTTTTTCAGTTTTATGGAGACAAATCTGATATTAACATGAATTTCCAAAAATGACATTAAATTAAATTTTAAATTCCTGGTATATTTCTTAACAAAATCAAGTAGCAAAGTGCACTACATTTTAAATAATGCTCTTGTATAGATGTGTGTTTGGAATTATCATTTTGATTTTCTCTACCCTTTTAGTTTTCCATTCAGTTAAAACTGGCATATACAGTATATATTTTAATTAATTTCTCATGAAAGGCAAAACATAAATATTTTAATCTGCAAATTAATTACTATGGGACATTTACAATATGGAAAATGTATAATTAAAATATTTTCCCACAATAATAAATCTATACACATATTTTTATAATAGAGCAGATGGTTACTGCAAATTGTACATTAAGGTATACTATTCAGAGAACATCCAAAATTCCCTATGTGGTTTCATTAAATCTACTGAATTAATTATCGATACTGTATGTAATAGATTTTTGATTAAAAATCTTTTTTTTTTGCTGCAGTAAAAAAAATTACATTTCCAACTATTCAATTACATGATTTATCACAGCTTTAACTTACTTGCACATTATGTCATCATTTTTCTTGTCTATGATGCATTGACCTCCATGACATTTTACACATTTGTCTATTTCACATTTTACACCTTCATATTGTAGAGGACAGAAACATTCTATGCTGCCATCATCAGCAGTGATGCAAGATTCAGAATTAACACAATAATGGTGGCAAATATCTGCAATGAATACACACATATACATGCATAAGATATAATACAATTATCCTCTTATAAGCATATTAATAAATTGATTGAATCAATAACTATTTTAATAAGTTATCAAAGATTTTCTTTATAGGACACATATATAGCTGAACATATACACATATACACATTTATATTTATTCATTTCAAAGGCATAATCTAATAGATTATTTAAAAATATTCAGAACGAGACAAAAATTTCCTCAACATTTTTTAAAGACACTTTTCTTAAATTATAAGAATGTTCCTTTATGGATTTTTTTTTGAACATTTGCCATCATTTTTCCCCTTCCCCAGCAATCCAAGAATGATTTCTGATCTAAAGCAAGTGGATGCTAACACAATTCTTGTTCACAATTACAAAAGAAAACAAAAAGGAAACAAACAAACAAAAACAAACAATAGGTGCTGCAATTTATTTAGAAGGCTGAAGAAAACAGGCAAGTGGAAACTATATTCTATAATCTCAGTTTCACTAAAGAGAGTGATTCAATTACCACTTCCTGAATGATCTCAGTACCGCCAAGTTTTCTGTGAAAGAAAAAGCTAAGCCTTGTATTTCTGTGATATAACATTTGTCTCAGGCTCATTTATTGTAGATATGTCTATGTAAACCTTGGTGCTTGTGCATGCATTCAGATATTCATGTATACATATACAAATGTGGATATGTAAGAACACTGCCAACTCTCCAAACTGTATTAATGAAGATGGAACTATAACATATTAAATATAAATAGAAGAGGAAGGAAAAGACGGGCAAAGTATGGTTCGGTGAAAATGAGATCGTCAAGAAGAATGCTAAGCGATTAAAGAACAAAATGCAATGTAGTATGGTCAGTGTAAGTAAATATGTTTTGAAAGTACAGAAATATATGTAGTTTTTCTTATTTCCTGACATTATCTTCACCTTACTTCTTTTTAAGTTTTTCTTGTATTTTGCATGATGTTGTTTACTTTGAAAGGCAATGGGATGATGAGGAAATGAATGTAGGCAGTTTTTTCTGGCTGGACTGGACTTGCTACTTTTTCATTATGGCACCAACTTATTCTTTGAACTGCATTCCAGGTGTGCTGTGTACCTAATTCAGAATTAATGAGAATATACACATGTGCACACATGCACGCACCCACTCACACCCTTGTGTTTGGAAACTTTTATTATTCTCCAGACAATATATTATTAATATGTATTCACTTTTGAAAATTGGCAAAAACATGGCTGATGCATTTGTTCTTCCTAGTGATTTGTTTTAAGTGCCTATTTTAGCATTTGGTATTTAAATCTCCAGAGTTTGTAATCTATATATATCTACATACACACACACACACACATACATATATTCCAGAAGCTGACAATCTCCTTGTAATCTTGTTTTATGGTTGTTATTTAGAGCAGACACTATTGCAGTTAATGTTGCAACTATCTTGTATTTTATGAGATAGACATTATTGTGTGTAATAATGGCCAATATAGAAGGTTAGGGTTGCTTCCCTCCTCCAAAGATTTGCCTTTCTAAAAGAGAAGATAGATTTGTAGTCAAAAGGAAAGCTGCAGATATACTATATAAGAGCTGGTTCTAAAATGTTTGGACATTTTAGCCATTTAATGTTTTCTTACTCCTTTTCAAAAATTAAAGAATGTTTTTTTCCATACAGGTTTCAGGAGTTCTGGGGGTTCAAAATGGAGCTTAAAATAAAAGCAATTTTTATACACACAGAGAGAGATGGGCTGCCAGCGGTTCACACTGGTTCTCCTAAGCTGGATGTTAATTTTCTGAGTAGTTCGGAGAACCGATTGTTGGAAGAAATCTTTTCCCACTTTACAGGGCTAATCCTGCAAGGGAGGCAGGAAGGAAACATTCTGTAATTCCTGTATTTCTAGCCTAATCCTTATCTTAATTGCCCTGCTGCTTTCGGTGTTTTCAGAAACTGCCTCTTGGTTAAGCTTATTACGTTGTAAGCCTTAGCAGCCTTTCTGCCTGTAGACCGAGCTTCTCTGGAGTCACTCCCGCCTGGAGATTTTTGTGATACTTTTATTCCTGGGGCTTGACTTATTAAAGATTGTTAAAGGGTTGTTTTAAGCTTTTTGGAGTATACTTCCAACACAGCTGGAACAGCTATTTAGAGAAGGGTTGGCATAGTCTTAGAAGAAATGGCTGAGAGGCAGGATGCAAGGTTGGCATTCTGTCTAATTTTTTTTACTGCCTTTGTGGGGGCATGTGATCTTTCCTTAAATCTGGATGATTATTTAAGGATATCTTGTGAGGGTGAGAGAGAGCAGCTGGTATCTGTAAGTGGTACAAATGGATCTAAGGATTGTTTCTCCTGGGTGGGAAGAGGAAACTGTGCTTTGTCAGTTCACCGAGCACAGTGATCTCTTGTCTATGGGAATTCTTCAGTCATCCAGGTCATGGTTGTCCCAAGGGTGCTTTTTCCAAGAGGCAACTGGTCTTTCTTGGTTTCCAGAAAGTTCAGTTGCCTCTGAAAAAGCACTTTTGGGACAGAAGTCTCTTGCATTGCTTCGGAGTGGGCAAGGCACATGGTTGCTCACTAATAATGAGTGGATCCTCCTTCCAATTTGTTTCAGTTTTCTCTCATGATAATATGGCATAGTAACATGGCACCAATTGTAGAAAGTTAGCACCCACCCAACTCCTAAAAGAATGAAATATTTTGAGAAATATTAAAAAGGAAGAATATATTTCCATGAATGAGAAATGGAGAAACATGTTTTCTTTCTTTCCTTAATAGCCCAAAGAAGATGTCAGCACTTGAGATAAAGAGATAGATAGCTTTATTCATAGGCAAAACTTCCCTGCAGCAAGGTCTGAACAAAGACAGAATGGCATTAGCCCTCACTCAAGATTTTAATTTGTTAATTTGTCTCTTTAGCTCATTTTGTAGCCCAAATGCATCCAGCCACTTTTTGGAGAGCTTAAATGACCTCTCTGCTAAAGGGTTTCATTTTATGAGCAATGGTAACTTGGCTGCTGATAGTTATCCTTGTATTTTAACTATTTTAATTCCTCTGCTCTGGCAACCTGCCTGATTTGTAACTCTGGGTTGCAGGTATTGCTGAGGAAAAAGAAGGTATTCAGACAGAATGGTTTAGGTTTCCATAACGGCCATGACTAATTGATCTTCAGTGTGTATTTCCCCATTTTTAATCTAATAACTGGTATTTAGGGCAGCTTTTTGCAAGCAAAGAAGCTTTTTGTATTTTTGTACAGGTAATCCTTGACTTACAACAGTTCATTTAGTGACCATTCAAAGTTACAATCGCACTGAAAAAAGTGATATGACTGTTTTTCACACTTACAACCATTGCAGCATCCCCACGGTCATGAGAGGTGAAGCGCCCCTCGGTGTAAGTGACATCGAGTTGGCCATGACCACCCAACCACTCAGCCATTAGGGCAGAGAACCAGTTGTTAAAAAATTTGCAGCCCACCGCTGCACACACAAAAACATTATTAAAGCATTATGATAAATAAATAAAATATAAATATAATATGTCATACCTGTTTTGTTATTATATTTGTCTGAGAAAAGGAACTTTTCTTGTGATTTTGCTCTTAATTATACAATTTTGTTCTGGATGTACATGCTTTGTCAAATGATTGCTTTTAAAAACTGAAAAATAGCAAGTCTGTTCTGATTTTTGTTAATTATACTCCAGTTATTTTGTACTTACAATCTTGACATCTGTCCCCTGCATGTTCGGGTTGACATTGACAGTGGGGCTGATTTCCAGCAGTGATACTGCAAGTTCCTCCATTCTGACAAAAATTATCACAGACTGTTTTATTGCAATTTGGACCTGTAAACCCCAGTGTACAAATGCATGCAGGTCTTCCTAAAAGACAAAATGAAATATCTGATAGGATAGCTCTAATTATGTACAACTTTCTTATTCATACTGATAATATGAATACTACAATTTAGAAAAAACAATTAGCATCATATGACATCTATAAATATATACATCTATAAATATTTTAAATACATATACTGGTAGTCCTTATTTAGTTACCATAATTTGGACTGGCAATTATTTCAATTTTCCTTTTTGTTAGAGACCTGTGAAGGTCATAATTGCAAGGATTGGTCATAAACTTACTTTTTCATCATCATCATACTGCAATTGGTTATTACATGAGGTAGTTGTTGAATCAGGACAATCTATAAATCAACGCCCTTGATTATGCTTTTTATTTCTTTAAAATCCATTACAATAACTTAGTTTGAAAATAGTTCAAATTATTTTGAGTTTTAATTACATTTTCCATATGTATGTTTTAATTAACTGATGACATTTCTTTGTTCAGATATTATTTTACCAAATCTGAAAAAATGCACACATTTTAATTAAAGTTATCCATATGATCCACACTAGAATATCCCAATACCATAAATTATAAGAAAACAATAATTAAATCTACAGTTTGCAGTGGAATTTAGTCAACTAATTAATATTTGTACAGACAATAATCTAAAAGTTAAAGTTTTTTTTATCTCCTCATGCAGCAAATAGTGAATTACAGTGAATGTAATTACTTCCTATTATAATAATTAGAAATACCAATACTAGTAAAATAATAGTATATTTATAGACCAATTTCCAACTTACAGAAAAAATAAGCACAGTGCAACTTAATTTAAGAAGAATATCATCCAATAAAATGTAAACATTGAAAATGTATCAAGACTATAACATAAACCTACCAATCAAACAGATTTAACATTTGAACTTGTTCAGAAACAGGGCATAATAAAATTAAACAACTGTTATTGTAATGACTGAGGATTGAACCACTAATTAGTTGAAATAATCATTCTGCAATTTAATTTACATTTAATTGGGAAAGGTATTAGTAAGAAAATAAGTAAATAGGCTATAAAATAAAACTTATCATTATCGGAATTATGTTTTTCAGATATTTAGCTGTTTGATCTTAATCTAATCATTATTACTAGTCCCCGCCTCTTCCTTTTTAATCCCCATCCATTATCCAATTCAAAATTGGAAGGTTTAGTGTGTTGTAACTGGATAGGAACTCAAAGCTGATATTCTTTTCTTTAAATTGATAATGGCTACCAAGAATACTTAAGGATACGAAGCTATAAAATAATTATATAAAACTCAATTATTTGAACTACAATTCAAATAATCTACAATCAAAAACATTTTGCCAAAGCACAGGAGCAGCATTGGAATTTTTTAACTGAATCTCTTGTATATTTTCTTCCAACATATTTACTTGATAAATTATAATAATAATTTACTTGATAAATTACTTGATAAACTGCTGTGGAGTAAGAAAAATATTAAGGCCTAAGCACCTATTCCTGTAGCACCTACTATCAACAGTAGATGAAAAAGTATAGCTGTTAATGGATTGCATGTAATACCATCAGTACTTAAAGTTGGAAAATTCTTCAATATTGGAATAATAAGGCCTCCTAACATGCTCAACTCAGTACATCTTTAAGTGCAAATATTATACCCAAATCCTCCTTCAACCTTTATTGGCCAGCCAAACAGTTACAGGTTATCAATGAAAAATTGCTTTCACAATCATTTAGTAAATGAAGGGAAAATTCACTGGGATGGCATGAATTTCAGCTCTCTTTTAAGAGGATCTAAGAGTATAACCCAGTACATAAAATCAACTACTGATGCAGGAATATTTTAACTGTCATCTTTTGTCCTGTTCTACAAGCAGTGACTAGTAAGTTTGGCAGTATGTTCTCTACCTAAAAGATTAAAAGTTACACCAAATGTGGATGGAACTTGCAGTTTTTCACATCTCAACCATTTTTGAGGATCTTCATCCTATCTAATAGGCACTAATTCTTTGTTACAATTCTTTCCCAAAGCACTAATCTGATGTGAAGAACAATCTTTTCTATTTCTATTATGAGAGGCTACAGAGCTGGCTTTGCTTTTTCTTAATTAATGTTCACATCTCCTGACATAGATATCTGAATCCTGGAGTCAAATGTATGTTAAAAAGAGCTGCAGCCTTGTGTTGTTTTAATGATTGTTTGAGTACATTCAGTTTATTATACAATCTCATTCTGCTTTTTTTGGCTGCACCGAGTTATTGAATATGCCAAATTAATCAGCTTCTAATAAATCATTTCATGTGTCTTTAATATTATGAGACACTTCTGAAGAGAAGTAGAAACACCATATTGTTCTTCAAGTTCAATACCTCATTTTATTACCTTACATGAGAATTCCTTTAAAATTAGCTATACTGGCCCCTCATGACCCATTTGGCATTAATAGCAGGCTAACATTTTCATCATGGATTAAATCAAATAAAAATCTTTCTTACAATCATTGACCACTGTAAAATAATGTAAAATTATCTAACTTATAATTTATGGAACAGATTGTAAAGATCTCATTATCAGAACTATGCATTTTTTTAAAGGAATAACTGTAAATCTTTGGAAATTTCTCAGTAAGCATATGGTTGGTAAGAGGAAAAATGGGTGCCTGAATTGAATTGCCTCTTCCAAATCTGCCATATAACCCTTAACACTGGATGTGAAGTTTCCACACTCTCACATTGCAAGGAAAACAAGGAAACCATTCCTAGCAAATTTTCTACATATATCAGTATCATTTTTTCTAGAAGAAAAACAAAAATCAAATGGCTTTTAATGCTTTGTGCTTTAGTCATAACAGTCCCATAAATTTTTATGTCTAATAGTAATAATTAACTACAGAATAACTGTTTTCTGTTGTCTACAATAAATAAATAGAGAAAATTAAAATTATATATATATTTACCGAGAACTGAAGCTACGCATGTTCCTCCATTCTGACAATAATTGTTACAATGGTTAATTTCACATCTGTCCCCTGAATAACTTGGCCAACAATAACACCTTTGATCACCTTTTTCATTTATAACACATCTACCTCCATTTTCACAAGCCAGGTTGCAAGTCTCATCTGTATTTAAGATATAAACACAAAGGTCATGACAGGAAATGATTATCATTATCATTGTTCATGCTGGAAATGAAAATAAAGAGCCAGAATAAACAAATTGTTAACACAGAAGAATATTAATGGACACAAAATCAGTTGCAGCCATCCAGTCCTGTTTGCTGCTCAGAATTCATATGAACAACATGTTCAACTGAATCATCTCAAGGCCTTGCTACTAGTAGAGTTCTGCAAAGCACTCAACTGAGTAAGTCATGCAGCACATTGGTATAAGCAAAACATCATTGTTGAAACACTGAATTAGCATTAACCTTCAATAGCCTTGACATAGTTCATTTGAAGTCTCTCCTAAGTATTCTGAATTAACATTTTTCAGATACAGATAACACTTCAATTGGAATCAGTGGTAAAGAGAATGATTACGGGGAACTCGCATGCTGAGCTGTGAAAGTCACCAAGCTTTCTAGAGGACCCTGATGTATTAAAGATATTTATGTAAGTGCCAGCTTCCTTTGTGAATTCTTTGCAAAATTGATAATGTCCAGAAGTATTAGATGTGCAACTCTCAAATATCATATTAGTAAACTGCGATATTTATTTCTTTGCCAACTTTGTGTCTTTATATTTATATGTGGCAACTGATATGATTATTGTTATCATTGTTGTGATTCATTTGATTGATTTTAACCTTGCTATGGATGTTTTGTTTATGTATCTTGTAAGCTGCTTTGATGTTTTTCATTGTAGAACAGCAGAAGTATAATATATAAATAACTTTGAGAGGTGCTGATGTCTTTTAAATTATGTAAATTTAGTGGGAGGGAACTTTAGATAATAGAATACAACTTTTAGGTAGATTAAACTTTAAAAGCCAAGATTTTATAAGTCAAATACTAATCAAAATTAATATCATTCTGCATTTTTTAAAATATTCAAATGCATTCCTTTACTTAAATTTCTGATATTGAAAGAAATATAAAAATAGACAATTTAGCATTATTGACTCATCCACAATTACTTCATGTAAGATTAAGTTCTTAAATAAATGTCGATACCCACCTAACATGTTCAAATCACTACATTTTCCATTAAACATTGCCTTTCCTTCTGGACATATGCAAGCTGCACCTGAAGGATTGAGTAAACACAGGAACTCACAGGTTAACTGCAGACAAGGATTGAGTGCTATTGAGAAGGAGAAAAGAAAGAAGCATAATATGAATTATTTTTCAAATAAATAATGAAATAAGAAACAGGGCCCTTATAGTATAGACATTAAGATTTAGCCCTGAGCCTGTCCCTCAATCCCATTAATACAAGAAAAGGGAACAATTTAAGACAAATTCTGATCCTCTGTTTTCAAGGACATGAGCAGATTCTCAGATAAGAAGTGGTAAGCAATTCAAGCCATAAACTCAAATACAAGAAACAGTTTCATGTAGTGGTTAAGATATCAGGTTAGAAACTGGGAAAATTATGAAGTCAGATTGGTGATCCTGCTTTCATTTTATTTATTTGTTTTTATACCTATTTATCTGAGGTCTATTCCATAAATCATGATGAAGAAGAAAATATACCACACTTTGTGTCATTATTTACTTCATGACTTCTTTCTCAACAATTTGTCTCCAGCTAAGGAGCAGCAGTAAAGGTTCATTGCAAGAGAAGAGAATTTATGGACATGTTATCAGGGAAGAAACTGTTATAATAAAATGTTTTTCTGGTCTTGTAACTACAAAATATTTTATTATTAAGCCCAGTAATTGATCTTTCTATGGTTTTTATTTTATTCCTAATGCTATCCCAAATTCCCCAAAATAGCTCATTTACTAAGTCCCTAATGTTACTAAGTCTAATATATAATGAAGGCGTGAATAAGTTATATATTTATTTAGTATGCTATTGTGAATACTGAAATATGTTAAATCCCCCCCCCCGGAAAGTAATAAAATGTACTCACAGTGTATTTGTTTGTAGCGATGTGAAATCAAGGCACTTTTTGTTTTATCAGTCTCCAAGTTCAAATATTCTACGGCACTATGGCCAAATTTTTGCACTCTAAATGCACCATTTTTAGGTCCAGCTCCATATATATAGTTCTCAAAAATATCAATTCTATGAGGATGTAGTAAGCCTTAAGTAAAAAGAAATACACATTTCCATTTGGATGTGACATTTCTGTATCAACATATACTGTAAACTAATGTTGGTATTTTTGTAGTGATATTTTGGTTTTATGAACAGTATCTGGAGTTGATAAAGTTGACAAGAAAAATAAAGAATCCAGTGTGACTTCTCTACTGGAAATATGCATCCTTCCTATCCAGCAAAAGATCCAGATGAAGTTACTTCAACTGATAATTATACTATAGAATTCATCATACACTATTTTAGGGTTCAATGCAACAAAAAAGGGCAAACCTTTTATACCTCTATTCATGTTTATTTTCTTTTTTCTGAACAGGGAGTTCTTATCAACATAATGCATGGAGAATCTGAATTAGCTTTTAACAATACAGAAAGTTTCCTCAGCTAAAATAATTTAAACAAAGAAGTTATTAATTATTATCATTTTCTAATACATTTGCAGAAATATCAAAAGCTGCCAAAGTACTTTATCCTATAAACCCTAAAACATACTTTGTCACTTAGTTCACAGACTTCAATTTGGTTGGAAAAGTTTAAAAAACTTTAGGAGAAAACCAGATCTTGGGGATATGCACAGTATGCATTGCACATGCATATGCGCGCGCGCACACACACACACACACACATACAGGTGTGTGCACACAGACATAAATGCAGTGTATATAAAAACTCTACACACTTATTAAAATGCCAGGCTTTTGAGATGCAAAAATATCAGACCAAAATAAATCACTTCCAATTTTATTCTAGCTTTTGTACAACATATAAACTGTACAATTCAACTGAAAATGATTACACCTTACCAGTAGGAGCCCTTAGTCAAAGACTCCCTAGCACTTCACCTGCCTACTTCAGATATGAAAGTCATAATCTAGGAGAATCATAATAGCTCAGATGATGCCTAGAAGCATCACAAGATCTGTATCAGATGTTGTCAGGACAATCTGACAATAAATAGGCTATTGGAATAAACCATGCATAAACAAAACAAAAGAACCTGGAATTGATGGAATGCTACCAGAACAACAGACGTAATGAGACATGATATATGGAGCGTAAGAGGATACTATGGATGGACAGAAGACCTACATCTACACTAACTGAGAAACAGCCAATGACCCAATGTTTCAGCATAGTGAAGAGAAAGCTGCTCTCACAACCAGATAGGCTAATTATACATTACATCCTGGACTCAAGAAAACCAGAAGAGCAAGTAGATGTGCAGCCAATACCTGAAGTGGAATGAAATTGTCACTCCATATATTACAAAACATAGACGTTTATATGAGGTATAAGATTGTGGATAAACTAACAGAATACCAGAGTTGGAAGAGATCTTGGAGGTGTTCTAGTCCAATCCCCTGCTCAGGCAAGAGCACCTATGCTGGACAAAATGCTGTCCAATCTCTCCTTAAAAACCTCCAGTGATTTTACTTTAATTTGTTTATTTGTAAATATTAAATTTGTAAACTAGCTAAACAGTCAATCCTCACGATCAATGCTCAATGTCCACCAATGCTTGGTGCAGAAGTATATATTCAGATAGTATATTAGAGGATGCTAATAGAGCCCTCACAGGAATCCTTACAAACAAAAACCAATAAACTGAATACATTACAGCCTCTGGAATCCTGGAGGTGGTTGATTACACAATCAAGATGAGAAGCAATACAAATCTCCTCCTCCCCCCAGATAGATGATAAGATCAAGGCAATTTGGAGAGAAGTTAATAAGCTAGTGGAACTACTTGACCACTGGGGGAAAAAAAACCCAGCTGCTGTTTCCATGTGAAGCCCTAGAGACTGTTAATAGGGTCTCAGAGCACTGGCTACTAGGATAAGGAGATATATTAGAAAAGCAGAGATCAAGAAGGTAAATGTCCTATTTTCCAAAAAACCAACTAAAGTATAATACCAACTGCAATGCAACAATACAGTAACAACAGAATCACAAACAGACATACAGACCAGCTATGAGTACCTGGTATCCCACAGTCATAAGGCAACCAGAAAGACAAGGCAAGGAAGATAGCAACTTCTAAATATCATCAAAAGATAGGGACCTGAAGAGCCAGCTCAATGAAAAGAGTAAGATTCACACCATCAACACATATGCACTGCCAGGTATTAAATACCTTGCTGGTATAGTGAATTGGCCCAAGAAGGACACAGAGGCTGCCAATGTGAAGACCTGGAAGTTCCTCATAATGTATGGAGACTTCCACCTGAAACCCAACACCCAGAAATTGTATACCAGCCCAAAAATGGCCAGATGGAATCTGAGGAGTGTCAAAGCCGCTGTCCTGAACAAAAGTCAGGGTGTCCACATCAGTAACATGGTACCCATTGATATGCTGCTGAGAGAATGCCTCAGGCAGCAGCACATGTCGAAGGAAGTTTAGACAAAGAAAGTACTACAGCAAGACAAGATCCTGCATGGGATGTACCATCAACAGATAATGGAAGATAATGATAAGCACTGAAGCACTGATCATAGCAGTACTAAAACAGACACTAAGTACCTTTAGAGAGGCCTCTGAGACAGTTTTCAGAGACACTTGGTGGCAGGATGTAAGATCCAGAAAGGAACAGCATATACTGAATAGCCCAAGCAAGTAACTGGAATAGTGTACAGGAACATCTGCATAATGTATGGACTAGACCCTCTCAAGTCCAAATGGGAGATTCCACAGAAGGTCTTTGAAAATAACAGAGCTAAGAACCCGTGGGACTTCCAGCTCCAGATGGACAGGTAGGTACTGGCCAATCAATACTATGACAGATATTGTGATAGTAGACAAGATAGAAAATAGTGATGGTCATAGATGCAGTGGTGCCAAGTGACAGCAAAATCAGCAAAAGGAATTGGAGAAGTTGGAGAAGTACTAAGGACTTAAGTAGGATTTAGAAAGCAAATGCCAAACTGGCTCAGTGGTGGTACAAGCACTCGGAGCTGTTACTGCTATGCTGAAGGAGGGTTTCCAAAAAATCCTGGGAATATTAGAGCTCTCTGTCCAGAAGAGTGCAATGCTGGGAACAGCTAAGATACGGAGCAGAACCCTCAAGCACACACACACAAACACACACACATACAAACACACACACAAATATACTTACCTTGCTTGCTGCTAACACATATAACTGAATCAGAGCCATCAAAACGAATACTGCCAATTACTGATAATTCAAAATCAGCCCAAAACAAGCGTTGACTGAAGTTATCAACCACTAAACCTGTAAATATATTAGTTAAGAATTTGAATGTAAAACACTATATAAGAAAATAGACTCACAGTCCTAGATTTTTTTTTACAAAACTATACAAAATAATAGGTGGCATGAAATTTTAGAAGTGTGCTTCTAGATTTCTCCATAGAACACTGTAGTTAGTCCCAACATGCAAACAGTTATGTAGCACCTGACATAATTAAAGCCATCCTTTCAAAAAGATGCACAAGAACAGTGGCTGCAACGTTTGAGCATGCAGATGTTATACCTAACAACTGCTTGATGCAAAAGTCTCTGAAAGAGAATGCTGGCATAAATCAGGAACTGCCTGTATAGTAGTTTGTATTTGAATGTTACAATATTAATGGAATAAAAGAGGACCTAAATTAGGGGTAAAGTTAAATTTGAAGGAAACCCTGCAATCCTTCCTACTTCCTAGACTACATATGCAAACCAAAAGTCATGTTTCTAGACTTGATGCAGTTTCCACTTGCAAAAAATGCACATATTAGAGAAAGGTATACAGAAATATATGCCACTTTAGGAAAAAAAAACTGCTTTCTATCACATTAAGTATGAAAAGAAGGTAGAAAAATCAGATATTAATATTAAATGGATACAAAAAATTAAGAGATGGTGGGTAGAAAATGTATCCTAAAAACTAAGCAAATTAAAATGTATGCTAAAAAGAACAAAAAACAAAACAAAAATGTAAATATTTTTAGATCACAAATATACAATAAAAGGCAAAGAGATGAAATTAGCATAAGGAAGAGAAATGAGTAATGAGAAAAATCAAACTTGTCACATTCACCTATTTAACTAACTGGCTACAAATTTATATTACAAGGTTTCGTAAAACCACTACAAGGTCTTAGCAACTAAATGAAGATATAGCCAGAACCAATGAATTGATCATAATAAATAAGTTGAATATTATTGAATTCTCATATTTTGTCTGCTCGCAACAAAGTATTTCACCTTGCAATATTGATTTCACATTCAGCATTAATTATGGTGGAATCAATGTACATTTTCCAAAGTAAAAATTTGCTTATAATGAGCATTACTGAATTCTAATGCAGACTAAGATTGGCTATACTTGACATCTTATTTTTACTTCAGAACAATTATAAACATTACAGTTATCTACTGTACTTTAAATCAATCCAACTTTTCCCAAGATCAGTGCAGACATTTAATTTAGACTTTGTTCAATTTTTGACAGAAGGACATTTAAAAAACTCAGTAATACAGAGTTTTGTTCAAAGTTTGTAATCTGCCACTGTTTTGTTAATATTTTAAAGTAAACTTGATTCATACACTCTAAATGATAGGTAAAACTTTTATGTCAATACTGAGAACACTTAGGTATGCAAATAAGAATAATAATTGTTTCTAACAACTCTGTTACACAATAACAAAAACAGAAATGATACAACATTGTATTAATCCTTGATTCTTGATTCTTAGAAGGATTCAAAACACAACCTTCTTTAATTGCTTGCTCTCTATTTTTTCCTGATTCCCAAGATTTCATTCTATATTAAGAAAACTTATGTCTGTATAATATTCTATAGTAAAAATATCAGCCATATGTAGGATGATGCATAGATGTCTAATGTTACAATTCCTGTAATGTATGTATAAACTTAACAAAAAGCTGTATTTTTTTCATGCTTTCACTTTTTCACTTTCTGAAACTTTATGTTTATATTCCTTGCATGACGTTTATATATTACATATAGATTTCTAAGATCAATATACAGATAGTTATGTCAACTCTTTTACATTGTTAAAAAATAAGGTTTCCTAGTAAAATTCCAGTTTAAGGAATGCTATGATGGCTACATGCTTTATAACAGTTAGGATTATATCTCCACTGAAGGACATTGTTTACTGTACAAATAAGAATGATGTTAATGCATTCTTTCCCACATTGTTCTTCAGTTTTCTTCTTTGTCATATGTGGACATAACATCATCAATGATTGAATAAAATATTAATATTAATTTATATGTACAACAAACTTTAACAATGTGGATATTATTGATTTATTTGTATGCTGCTCATTGTAATAGTCCGAAAGCAGCAATTGTGCAATCTGTCTTACAACCTTTAAGGTTAGTAAAAATATCAAACAAATTGATTTGCTTACCATATTTATTTTAAAAGCTGTAGATAATAAATTATTTGAAATTTTAAAAAGATGTAATGGTCATATTTAGCTGTAACTATTTGTCATTGTGTATGGAAACTTTTAAAATTGCTTCTTTTGCAATCAAAACAGTCAGGTACAAATCACAATGATGGAAACAGGCTGAACTGCACATTGCCCAATCTTTTATACTGGAACGCAATAGTGAAGAGTATGTAGGTCATGTACTATATGTCACAACATTGTGGTGCATATTTCATATCATATTGATTTAAAAGATTGGTATAGCTACTTATTTTAAAATGCTAAGTCTGGATGGTTCATTATGTAATTTACCTCACTTAATATCCCTTTTACAGATACCTATGACTGAAATAATAAATATAAAAAACAAGTACTATATAGTTCTATACATTGTTTATATATTGCAAGGATATGCTATCCTTAAAGTACAATCTGGATGTGACATTTGAACAACATAAATGATTCTGTGGAAAATACATCCTTGCAACTTCAAGGGAGAAAAAAATAGAAAAAAGTCATTTTTGCAGGATACAGAAAACTATTGAACAATACAAAAATCACTGAATCAGGATTATTGCTGGGTTGCAATATAGCACAGAATAACATTTCAGAATAGCTAAAATGGAGACCATTAATAAATAACATATTGTTAAAATTTAACTGTACCTGTTGGTCTTTGTAAATTTTTTTGTACTATTATCCTCCTCAAAGTACCATCCATTGCTGCTTCTTCTATATGAGAACGATCTCCAATTACAGTCCAATACATCATGCTGGAAATCCCAAACACAAATCACATGGTTCTGTTTCATTATACTTAACACAAAGAGCCTGTTGCTATATGTCAGTTTATTCATGTTCTTCTGATAATTCACAAAACTACATATCTTTTATTTTGAAACTGAAGACATTCTATTCCATGAACCCAAATGAAAAACTAATGAGAATAATGCCCAGACATAAACTCTAGACTATGTACATGGTACCTTGTCATGAGATATTTTAATATCTCTGGTTAATTGTGGATGGGCTGTAATGTTCTTACAAACATTCATTCTATGGTAAAATCTGAAGATTATGACTTCCCATAGGCCCTGGCCTGACATATTCATATAGGACTGAGATGTGAAGTCAGGAATAATAATCCTGGCTAGTTAGCATTGCTAGGGATGCAGGATAATAAGCCAGTGCCATTCTTTCTCCATGTCACTTTGTAATATACTCTGAATAAAGGCCAAGGATTCCTTCTTCTAAAATTGTCAGTGAATGGTGTACAGGGTACCTTAGATTTATTTTTGTCTTGTTCCCTGAATTTAAACATTTATCTGAGAAGTCTCACATATTTTCCCAAGGCATAGGGGACAATTTTATTGAGCTATGGTTTATTTTGTTTCTAAATAGCAGCTGCTAGCCATTGTCTGAACTGTAATAAGAAGTGGAAGTTCAAGGCGGTATAGATGTAATCAGGCTCAAGTGAAACGAGTACTGAAAACAGATATATACTGTATCAGTTTTGTGACAAAGCTAAATGCTGTTATTGCAGGCTCTGTAGTGGTCTTGACTCTGACTTTCATCACTGCCCTTTCGGAAAAGAGCTACGACTCTGGCCCCCAAGCAACTTTTCATGCTCTTCTGTATGTTATTTTCAGCATTAAATATGTTTGTTTCAGTCCTCTACATATTCATATTTTTGCCCTTTACCAGGATCCTTCGGATTATTCAACTGGCTATTATTTAAATGAAAATATTAAAGTCATTCTTACTGATCTCATAAGGAATTTGCATTTTGAGTAATTTTTAATGAGAATTTGCCGACAAGTAAGGAAGCAGGCAAGAAAGGACTAATTTTCTTCTCTGTGAAGAATAGGGCCAAGCAAACATAGAAGCTATGTCATTCCAGAGGCACTTGCACTATACAATGGCTCATATAATATCTATCATAAAAGTTAACAACGTACCCTTTCAGAGGATTTACAGCAATTGCATAGGGTTCTCCTGCCATATTTGTAAGGAGTCTTGTGCAGTTTGGTCCACTTATTTGTCCCACATTGATGGAGTATCTTAAACTTGTCCAATGAGTTGTATAATAACTAAACCAATGCATTCTGGAATGATCAGTCCAGTAAATGTTTCCAGCTATCCAGTCAACTGCAATGTCTCTAGGGCGTTTGAATTCAGGACACTAGAAAGAAAGAAAAAAGATGTTTAAAATTGCTCTGCTATATACTTATTTGACCTGATTGGTCTATAAAGAAACCAACCATTCAAACATTGAGCTTGAAAGAACATTTAAAGTATAAACATCTGCATATTTTAATATCCTTTGTTGAGTTCAAACTTATATTTCTCCCAAAATACTTAGATATCATTCTACTTTATGCTTCATAGTTTGCATACAATTGCTTTGTGTATTATAGTTTTGCCTTTCATATAGTTTTTAAGCCATTAAGATTTTGCAATTGGCGTTTCATAATTTCTTCATGGATATAAATAAGAAAGGATAGCTCTAAAGGGACCATATAGTAGCAATGATACTTTTCACTCAGAATTCAGGCTGGATTTGGGATTGATATAGCATTTGATGTCACTCTTGGATGACCTCTAGCAGAAGCAGTGTGTGTGTGTGGGGGGGGGGTAGTGCATCCATCCTTGCTCTTTTTGAACTCTCAACAGCCTACTTTAGCATTTATCATGGTTCCTTCTGGATCAGCTTGCAAATTGGGATTTGACAGCACAATGCTGTGCCGCTTCTTCCCCTTCCTTTGCAGTTAGTTCCAGCTGGTTTTGATAGGAGGTCCAGCCCAGGCCACCCCACTTGAAATTTCAACAGTGCTAGACAAAGGGACTTACAACCAGTGCCTAACCTTTAGATGTTGTTGAGCTCCGTGGTCATGTAATTGCAATTTGGGCAGTTGACAACCTGCTTGCACCAGTGATGGATTGCCAAGCACCCTGAAATCATGTGATTGCCATCTGCAATCTTTCCTTCTGGGTACCCCACAAAGTCAACAGGGAATTCAGCAGGGAACATGGCAGGCTGCAGTTACTTGGTTAATTCTTGGGAGTTGGTGAAAACAGTCCATCCTGAAATACAAGCTTGGATTTCTGCTTGAGTTTCAAGAGGGATCTTTTTCAGCTATTTTTGATAGCAAAAAATACTGCTTGGTTGATTTTGTCCCATACTGGGTTCAATCTCTTTTTTGTTGTCAATAAGACTGGTTGAAAATGAACTCCAATTTTATTTATTTTGCCTTGTATTGGGCAGAGTGTCTCTCCAACAGAAGGAGGGGAATGCAGGTATGGTCTGGACAAATGAAGCTTGGATCATGCATAGAGAGGAGCTGCCTATCCCCCTTCAGCAAGCTGTTTTTTCTTTACTTTTTTCACTTTAATGGCTGTGCCTAGCAAAGCCAGGATGCAGTCCTAAAATCAAATCAGAATACATGGTGACATTCTTTATAATTGCTATGACTTACAACCATGGTTTGAGCTCAATTATGGTCTTATATCAAGGACACCTATAGAGATACCCCAACTCCTGAAAAGAGCCTTCACTCTCTACAGAAAGCCAACATGGAACAGAAGGAGGTCATCTGACTTAAATACTTTTAAACAGCAGAATATCTTTCTGCAGTTTTAAAATACAAATATGTACCATTCATTATTTTTCTATTTTTAAATTTAAATTATTAGGAATACCGTATTTTTCGGAGTACAAAACACACCCTTTTCCCTCAAAAAAGAGGCCAAAAATATGGGTGCGTCTTATACACTGAATACAGCAATTTTTTTGCCTCCTAAAACCCGGCCCTCTTCACCAAAATGGCTGTGCGGAGCCTTTAGGAGGCTTTCAGAATGCTCCTGGGGGCTGAGAAGGACAGAAATGAGAGAAAACTGGCTATTTTTTTCTCAATTTTGCCTTCCCCAGCCCCAAGGAGCACTCTATAAGCTTCCTAAAGGCTATGCATGTCTTCTTTTTTTGACAAAAAACAGACTCGTTTTTTACCCTCACCCCAGGAGCACTCTACAAGCCTCCTAAAGGCTATTCATGCCCCCTTTTTAAAAAATGAGCTTGTTTTTGTGAAAAATGGGCCGTTTTGGAGAGGTCTGCAGAGTGCAAAAATGTTTTTTTAATTTGCCTCTTCAAATCTTGGTGCGTCTGATACTCCGAAAAATATGGTATATGCACTGATAGACAAATAATGTGTAAGAAATAATGACTTTTGCTTCAATGTCTACAATTACTTTTTTGACTTTTGAAATTACAATTTAATTTATAAATATGCACCATAAATACAATATAGGATACATATTTCAAAACTGATGTTTTACTAGCTTCAGTTACATTTACTTAATATATTCTAGATTGCCCTAAATGGACAAACCTTATTAATTTGAACAATAATTTCTGAATGAATATTTATGAGTGTAAATATTTTTACACATGTATTGTTTTTAATACATGTTTCAATAAATTAAAATAAAGTACAAAACATTTAAGCAATAAAATGTTAAATAATTATGCTATTCCAAAACATTAGTTTATTGTTAATATTATCAGAATCTATTTGAAATGAAAACAAAACAGAAATTAAAGTGAAAAATACCAAATTTCAGAAAAATCCATATAGGATAAAGAGAAAATAGGTTGATGCTTACCTTCTTAATTAAACAAATATCTGAGAAAGTTCTGCATGTGTGTGCGCGCGCACACACACACACACACACACACACACTGCATACACAGAACCTTCTCTGACAAGAACTCAGAATGCTCAAAAGATACCTACACTGTTGTGAGCATCAAAAGAATTCTTCTAATATTTGAAGAAAAAAAAAGGGTGCAACATAGACTAAGTGGCCTACCTGTCACAGTTGTACCAATGACCCTTCCCTTAAAGGGAATGCATTCCAAGAATCATTCTTTGTGATATATTCAGGACATGGATAATTGGCCAAATAAGGATATTGATAATTAGAAATAACATAACAATAAACCACATCAAAGTTGAGAAGTACTGAAATCTACTGTATTGCTTGTTGTAACTTATATAGGAGATATTTGGATATTTAAAGAAATAAAAACACTGCTATTAAATGCAGTTTTCGGCACACTCTGAGCTTGGTTGTTTGCTCTTGATTAGATAGCAATAGCAATACCACTTTATAGCCCTCTCTAAGTGGTTTACAGAGTCAGCATATTGCCCCCAACAATTTGGGTCCTCATTTTACTGACCTTGAAAGGATGGAAGGCTGAGTCAACCTTGAGCCTGGTGAGATTCGAACTGCCAAATTGCAGGCAGCCAGCAGGCAGCCAAAGTAACCTGTAGTACTGCATTCTAACCACTGTGCCACTACAGCTCTACCTATAGGTAGGTAATGGCTTCAGCGCCACCACTGAACATCTTCAGCTAGCACTGAGTGTTACCTAGTTGGGTAATGTAGTCTAATCTGTAAGAAAATAACCAAGCTCAGAGAACATCAAGGACTCCGTAGTTCAATCCTGAGCTACATATATTCTCTTCTAATAGTATCTTTCTATTATAGCAACAAAGAAGTCTTCCCAGGATGGCATATTTTACAGATGCACTTTATATCTTTTATTTGTTCACTTATCAAATTCTAACAAGTGCAAATATTTTTTATTTTTAAAGTGACTATAATTATGAACTGGTTCACCATAAAGAAGACATTTAAAAAAAAAAATCATAGTAAAAATCAGTTCCAGGAACAACACATATCTTTATATTACTGTTAATATACACTAAGTTACTGTGGTTCACAAGGATAAAGAATTGAAATGCTGTCATATGGAACTTTTATATTTACACATTTAAGTGAAAAAAAACCAATTCCAAAATAAAAACATGCAAAATATCTCAGCATTGTTGACTTACTATCACACCGCTATTGCTTTGTCTTCTTTCTCCCCCATTGACCTTTTTATAGAAAATGCCTCCTGGATTAAATTGAGTACTCCAAATAATAATTTCCCCTTGATAATATAGATCCATTCCAGTTATTCTTGAGTTATGTTCAATGTGTGTAATCTGTTGATGAACATCACTGTAGTTGAATGGATATACAAAACCCAGGATATCAGTGTCATTAGAAATGTAGAGAACTTGATCTTCAGAGCCTGGAAATTATTGTAATGAAATACAAAAATAAAGTAAATTTCAACTATTAAAAAGGAGAGAAATTCATTTATTTAATTTTTTATACTGATATGGGTTGCTTTTCTGATGATTTATATTGCGATCCACATCCTACTTATCTTCAAATACTTTTAAGTTTGACTGAATTCAAACTCAAAGAATTAAGTAACGTGTGAAAGAAAGTCTTATGATAATTTCTTATTTAACAGAATTTACTTAATAACATATACATTGCTATTCTCATTTAAATAATAATATTATACTACAACATATTATTTCCCTCTGTTTTAAATTATTCCTTCCTCTACCTGTTTTTGAAAGTACAGGACAAAGTTTTATTATTTTTCCTATTTTCAAATTTTCTTGAAATATTAGACTTATTATTAAAGTAGAAAGCCTTTGGTCTTGGTTCGTACAGCAAGTTTTGTTTTAGAAAGTTGCCTTGGCATGAGGTCTATAGGATTGCCTCTTGTCATTTATGCTTTTTGGCTAAATACAAAGCTATTTTATGATATTACTGGGAATTCTGAATGGAATTCAGGAATTTTATTTCACCCTATGATAGGAAGTTTGTTATTAAATTTATTAACTTGGATAATAGTCAATAAATTGAAGCACAGCTAGTAAGTTTATGAATTTAAATTTTGTTGCTTCTTTGAGAAAGACAATATACTGTTATCCATGCCCTGATAACTTCTCATCTGTAACCACATAATCAAGGTTTTCTTTGGAAATTTTCAGGAAACGTAAATGAATAAAATTATAGCTATCAGGGATATTTGCATCATTTTTTTGCAAATTTAAAAGGAATTTTTAGAATTGTTTTCTATATTTTTGAATAAATTATAAGTATTAGCGTTCATTTTCAAATATGATTACATCTTTCATTCTTTACTTCTTTTCAGAGAAGCATCTAGAAGAAAATAGTTTAATTTCAGATGACCTGCAAGGTTTTCCTAAAATATTCATTTGATGCCAACATTTTTTTTCATATACCAGTCATTATATGTTACTTTTAGGCATATTTTTAAAAAGGTCAGTATCATTGTAAGTAAATGGCTACTTGTTTTGTACTTTAAAGTTCCACTATTTAATTTTTGTAAATTGTTGTGGAATATTTCATGATGAAGGGTGGTACAAAATATTTTAAGAAGAAATAATGGAAAGTACATGGAAGTTGTACAGTTTTATTATATAAAATTGCAAGTCTTATGTGTAAACATTAGTAATCCAATGAAGTTTCCATTACAGTCTAAATATATGTGAAAGCAGAAATAAAACGAAAGTTGTTGATTCCTTACCAGGGGATATATCTGAGTAATTTTAAAGAATTTCAGTAATATTAGCAATATTTCAAATAGACTTTATATGTCTCTGGAATCAGATATTTATGTATTGAAGGAAAGGATTGGGATTCTGATTTACTGTTCTGAGAAATGGCTATTTCTATCACAGAAAATAGTCTAATATAATTGATGGAGACTCCCACTGACAGAGCAGGTAAGACTATTTTCCAAGCAGATCATATGCTATGAATTAAGAACTAAAAACAAATTACTTTTTAATTTATTGCTTTCAATAATGAAATGAGTATAATAAATACAAGATTTAATGTACATTAACAAAAATCAGATGCATGAACAATTATTCCTCTTAAAACAGAAACAGCATAATTACATTATATGTCTTTAAGGCTTGTACTCGCAAATAGAAACCTGAGGAAAAACTTTCTGTGTGCTTCTCTTTTGAGCAGAAGATGCACAGTGCATACTGATAAAATTTCATAATGCTTTATTTCCCTTCCTCAGTCCCAGACAAGTATACTATGCAGTGAAACAAGGCATTAACATGGGCTAAAAATGTTAGATCTGTTCATATTTTCCATCATATGGAGGATTGTGACAAATTTAAAATCAGATTATAAATGAAATTGCTTGCAATCAAAATTACTATATTACGTTGTTTCCAATTAAGGGGTAGGAACAGAAGAAAAATACTTTTTCATCATGTCCTGTTGTATTCTTACTTATAGTACCATTGTGCATGAAAAGGTCATGATTGCCATGTGCACCAGCATCGTGAATTATTTTGTCAGCTTACCTTTTGCAATGCAGCTACTGTTTCTCTCTTTATAGTTCTTTTCACAAGTACATTTATATGATCCTTTTATGTTGATACAGAGCTGGGAGCAGATGCCAAATATTAGACATTCATTGATATCTAGAAAAGAAAATTCTTTATGATTTATTTCAAGTCACATGCAAGCTGTTACAAAAAGACGAGTCAGATGGAAACAAATTTAACATTGTTCAACACAATTCATAAACAATATTTTAATAGTATTAATCAGTAATAGAAAAAGTACATCCAAAGAACCATTTCTGTAAAGCAGCTTTAAACTCTGAAGTCCTGACCTAAATTGGGGCAAGGCTATGGCCCTGGAGCTGTTTACTTCTAGAATGCAGTCCTTTTCATATATTACAAAGCCTGGGATGCCCTCTATCTAATATAAACTGTGGAAGCCTGGGTTAAAGTGTCATAGCCACAGGTATCCATAGGAACCAATACATTTTTCAAAATGCTGAAAGCAGTGTTGCATGTCATGATGCAAGCTCCATAGGTTTTCTACATTTTGCCTGTGTGACAGTCAATGTTCCCTCTAATTTTTTTTCCGTGTGAGCGGAAAAGTATAGTGTTTGAGTGGCATATTTTCATGCCTGAGCACCTGATTTTTTTTAACAGATGTCACCTAAGACAACAACGAAATCAGTATTATTTGAAACTCAAAGTTATGTTTATTCAAGGGACCCGCTTAATTAAAAGTGTTATATAATATCAGTATCACTTAACAACGCTCCTGCTTAGCAACCAAAATGTTGGCTCAGAAAGTCTAGCTTTTGAAGCACGCAAATCTTAAAGCTATTGTTACAACACCCTCGCCCCTAACCCTTTAGAAAAAAAACCTCTGGGGTCTTCAAACCTGACAGCTTTAAGACTTGTGGACTTCAACTCCCAGAATTCCTCCTCCAGTCATGTTGGCTCTTTCCCTCTTTTAATACTCCATTTATGTGAAATGAATCCAAAGAACTCTCAAAATTTTCATACTTCAATGTACAGTACATATCAAAAAGAGCAGTGTATATTTGGAAAAAAACAGTTCTTCTTTTCCCAGACTTCTATGATTTAAGGAGCTATTGCATTATAATTAATAAACGCTTAAGGCAGCCATACTTTTATTCAGAGTCCTATTTCTACTGACTTAAGAGGAACATTATTCCAAAATGTAAAAATATACATAATTATAATGAAGTAATATTAAATAATATTTAAAGAGAATATATATTTAAATATGTCTCCAGGTTTTCCTTAAATGAAGAAATAACCAAACCAAGTAAATTCTTACATTTACTGCTATTTTTTTAAAAAATGTTCATTATGTTTTGACTCCTTAACTTTCAGATTTTTTAAAAAAGAAAAGCATACTTCCAATTGCTACAAATTAAATGACTTCTTTTATACTTTAACAATTATTAAAATCTAACTTCTAACATCACAAAGTAATATCATTTTAATATTTTTAGAATGGTTCAAAGCAGTGCTTCAGAAATACCTTCACATTGCCAGTTTCTCCTGTTCCTCTGAAATCCAGGCTTACATTGGCAGAAAATTGATGTTTTGGTTTTATTACAATATGCATCATCACCACAAGGATTCACATTATTTTCACAGTTGTGTTCAGTCAAACCTAAGAACAAAAATAAATATAAACATTTGCAAAATAAAATTATTTAACATTTTTATCCTAACTATGCACAATCATAATTCTTTCTACAAACAAAATTTAGTACACAAATGCATAATATTTCAAATTTGATTTTCACAGAAGTTTTTTTTTTTTCTTAAGAAAAAAACAGACTACCACAGAAGTTATTTTTGATTGAAACAAGCTTGGAAATATTTCAGATCTAACTCCATTTGTACATTTCAACAGTTTGGAAAATCAACATGTATCATGAATCTCCTCCCAATTATTCCAAATTCATCTTAGAAATTTCTGAATGACTCATTGAATGCAACATGTTAAGCGGGTAAACATAGGTGATGGAGCAGTACTTTAACCTCAATTTGTAACAATAGCTTCTAAAAGATTAGCCTATTTTAACCATGATCCATCATCCCATCCATATATAGACTAATGCCTAATTTATGATTAAGTAATTATCACTATTTCAGGTAAACAAGAAGGTGCTCCTGCAGTGTCCCTACTGTTCCTATTTTGTTTTTCAGCTCTCTGGGGGGAATTGGTTGATAAAACAAAGAAGCTGGGAAAGGATTAATCTTCTCTCAGTATCTATTCACTGGCTCCAGTCTTCAAAAGCTCCAGGTTTCTGAGTTTCTAAACAAAAACAGCAAAGGTTGTTTGAGGATTCTGGATAAAAGAAAATAAGTCTTTCTAAATAGGAGGGTTTGTGATTTCATTGCCTCTGGAAAGGACTTTACTGGATGAATTTCTTAACTATGTCTGACATTAAATCTGTTAAATTGGGATAGAGAGTAAAGAAGATGACCTCAATGAAAATATGCCAGAATTTACCCAAAAGATTGCTGTTAATCTAGTATCCTTTTTTTTTCTTATCCTTTTTACATTTTTTATAAGAGTTAGTGTTTTGGTTTTTTAAGTTTTTTAAAATGTGTATCTCTCTGTGTGCATTTCTATAGATATGATTAGAAACAATTAAAATAAATTAAGAGAGGAGTACATGGAATATCTACAAGGAATCTAGTTTTAAATATGATTCAGACCAAATTTGTATGTGAAGACCTGAGTACAAATCCAAAGAGGTCTGAACCAAAATAAATTGGATATTGGAAATAAACTCTAAACATTCAAATGCACACATTTTTATTGGATGGTTGGCCTTTCCATGTATCTGATGGAATAATTTAAATTTAATATAATAATTTCTCTCTCACCTATATATTAAAGTGTCTAAAACATATATAGGAGATAGCCAGCAGAATCTCTAATATAATGTCTTTGCATGTTTTATTGGAACCTTAAACAGAGATCAACTCTGAACATAAATTAGTTAATTGAAATGCCTAGAGCAACTTGAACAATTTTTCCAAGAGAATATCAGCAGCTTCTTTTTACTGTTTCTCCATTGTCAGGATCCTATTATTGATTCCTCCCCCATTAATTCTTATCAGGGCAAAGAGAACAAAATATTGAGGAAATAAGTAATTGGTGGTAGTTGGTGGTTATGTACTATCTTTCCTTACTTCCTACCATATTTTAATTTTTTTTAAAGTATGGTGAAAATTTTAAAATATATTGTGGTGACAATTTGGAAACATTCCCATAGACATTTGGGAAGGTTAATGACCTCCCTTTTTTCATTCATTCTTGTTGGGGAGAATACCCAAAGAAACTACAATTATGTTACTCTTTATTATAGTCTAGGAAAACTATTTTCTCAAATCATAAATAAATTCAAATTGAATAGTATTTCTCACTAGTCTCATATTTTAATTAAATAATACCCTGTTCAATTGCTGATTCCAATGCTCTGCTCTATATCACAATCTTCATTTTCTTCTCCCTTTAAGAATTAACATTCTTTTTTGTCCCTTTTTCTTACCATTTTCTCCATGTGACTACATGATTAGTGTATTTTTCATTTTTTAGTGTTCAGGACTGAAGTAATAAAAAGTTTAAATAAAAAAGGCTCTTTTATATGCATTGAAAACTATTTCCGTCCTCTTGGTTCAAGAAATAGAGGTCATTTGAGGCAAATGTTTGTAATGTACTGTGTTCAGGTATTATAAACTATATAAATATTAATAGACAATTGTGACTCTTTAGCACAATATCATTTTTTCAACTTCAAAGGAAGGTATGAAAAATCCATTATACAACTAACACTGCAAGTTGGAGATCATGCCACATGCAACAAAATAACTGTTTACATTCTTGAAAGAGAACAAACAATGAGATATCTGGCAGTGATAATGTAATGGTTGAAGCATTGAGATTCTGTAAATGAATCCATCCCATGAACATATATGTAAAATACCAGTAACTATAATTTGAGTTCCACTGTTCAGGTCTATCATAACAGAACTGTTTATTAATTTTATATTGTTCATATTAAGATCAATTAGATTATGCAGATTCTGTTCTGTATTTTTTTCTGTCCTTGAGCATGGAAATTTGGCCAACCCTTAGTCAAACTTACTTGTTTTACAGCCTTGTTCATCTGAACCATCTCCACAGTCATCAAACTGATCACATTCTAGTGCCATAGGTATGCACTTCTTATTATTACAAGCAAACTCATCCTTTTTACACGGTCTGGCTTTATATGTAGTTTTGTCTGCAAAAAGATACACAGGGGTAGTCAATTATTTTGAGCCTTTGATATTATTCATAAAATAAATGCAAAAGGCTTTACAGAATGCTGTTTCCTGGACATGTAGATGCCTGCCCTGTCAAAAGCATAAAATAATAAAGATTTCCTATTGCTTTTGGGGCAGAGAATATGAGACCCCAAATCTCAATATTACAATTGCTTGAAGGCGAAATGCATCACTCACAGAGTGATGTCTATTCTATTCATAAATTCAAAACAGTAACAAATCAACACAGGCTGAATATACAGTGAGGGGTAGGGAGCAGGATCACATTTATAGTTGCTTTTCACATACCGTAAAGACAATCGCTATCTGAAGTGGAGTTCAGACACCATGTCAGCCTAAAGCAACTGAATGTCAAATGAAAGATATGTAAAAAAAATAAGGAGGAGGAATGTGTTTTCTTTATCATGGAGAAAAATTACCTGCGTGGCTACTAGAAACTGAAAACAACTTAATGATACATAATCAATGAAACATAGTTATTTCTAACCTCTTGACATGCAGAAAAAGAATAAAAAAAGTTCTAAATGTCTGGGATGGCTAGACATATGAATGTCCATGGGCAATGAATTAGAAAATGTGCATGTTGACCTCATCAGGCAAATGTCATAATTTACATACTAACAGTTGACATCAGCATGTTGTTACACAATAGCAACATTTACTCGATGGCATCATGATGTCTGTTTAGTCATTTTGGAGCTATTAAGATCTGCTGGTCAAACTGATTTTATACAATGTTTCACTGGCCTCAGCATGACCAATAGATAAGTCTGTATCTTCTATGATTAATAGTTAGGAGTTCATGGTATTGAGCAAAAGCTTTCAGTCCAACATTAACATTAATGCTAGTCAATAAAGAAAAATCTTTCAACAATATTAAGCAAGATAAGAAGCACAATATCGAACTGATACCTAGGTTTCTGAAGAGCCATTTGGATACCACTTACTGCTGAGAATACAATATGATTCCTATACTAGAAATACAAATGAGCACTATTACTCTACACTTACAGTATGATGAATTTATTACTATTATTGTGCCACCATTAGGCTGGAATAAATACCGCCCCACAAGCCATCTTTAGACATCTGTGAGTTATAGTCTCAGTTATTAAGACAAGCAAAGACACCCCCCCCAAAAAAGACTGTTTTTTTCTTGTTTGTAAAACTAAGATTATTTACCACAGTGATCTTCATCTGAATCATCACCACAATCATCAATCCCATTACATATTTGCTCATGTCTCAAACAAACGTGATTATTTCTGCATCGGTATGGCCTGGTTGGAGGGCACGAAAAATTTACTGTGAAAAAATCCAAAGTGTATATTATTTGGTTCTGCAGAGAATATGTCTTTTACATATTTATTTGCTTTTATCAAATAGGGGAAATGTAATTAAATTGTTACATATACTTCTCCTTAATATCACTTTTAATTGAATGTAAATAATTTCTACTAGATAAGAGAAAATATGTTGGAAAGCTTTCAGTTATGTCCCTCATGAGTAATAAAGAAAAAACTTTCTGATTATATTGAGGATCTTCACAAAATGTTACCTGCTTCAAATATAATGTATACAACATGTATGTAATCTGCAGACATAAATTTTCTTCTCATACAAATCAAAGACAAAAGAAAACAAGAGCAGCACTGAAAAAGAAGAAAAAACAACTACAGAGACTTTGTCATTAATTGAATATATCATTGCTAATGCTTTTGTGGGCTGTAGTCCACAAACTTACAACATATTTCTGGAAATTCATCTGAGTTATCTCCACAATCATCTTCTCCATCACAAACCCAAAAATAGAGTTTACAGAGTGAATTGTTGCAAAGGAATTCATCAGCTCTACATATGTTCCTCCCTAAAAATACAAAATAGTAAAACTAAAATATGTACATCTTATAAATATTTATTTTTAAGTTTATATACATTGGGATACCACAATATACCATGTAGATTTCCATGATTTTATATCTTGCCTCAAATAGCTGTTAGAGATAAAATTCAAGATTAATAATGAAGAATAGTAGTAGATTCTGCACCAGTGGAAAACAGATGTTTACGGGAAAATAAGAAGCTAACAATCAAGACACGTATGCTCATGTACTCTTTCAACTGAATTCACCAGCAACCAGTATCAAACAGGTTTTTTTTTTATCCCTGCAGCCTGAATAGTTCCATTTTTTTTCTAATAATAGAAAAAAATGTTTTGAGAACTTTCATTTGGAAAATAATACTGGGACAAACAGGTCAATTTCTCCTCCACCATGACATAGAGGTCCTTTCTATTATCAGAAAATAGATATTTATTAAATTTGATGAATCTATAAATCTGATTGTGCATTCCAAAACTCTTAGCTACCTATGCTCTCCTAAAACAAGACATCTTATCTATTTCCTTTTTACCTTTTCATTGCCATCTGCTATAAGCGATATAAATTTTATATGAATTGACATGAAAGGAAATTTGATCAAAGTAAAATTTAACTGTTTTTCTCCCTAAACCTCCTGATACAAGTAACTTCTTGTAGATATGTAAATTTACCAAGAAAATATTGCTAAGGGGAAAATATAATCAAATACATGAAATTAGTCATTGATCCACAGTTGCTGTCAGCATGCTGCTAGTGGTTGTAGTTGAATTGTAAAACTTGGTGCATTTTTTTTAAGTCTCACAAATATACTGTAGATACTGACCTTATTGCATTTTAAAACACATTTTGAATTAAAAGAAACCAGAATAACATTTATTTGTTCACTGCTCCCAAACTTTGCCTAATTTCTTGCAATGGAAGTAATTACCATTAAAAGAAATAAAATTAGGAAAAGGCAAGCATTCCTATAATAGAATACTAGCAGGTAAGCTATTGGGCAGTAATACATATTAAGATCAATTATTTGCCTGTTTCTACTTTAAACAATATCTTTTTCTTAAAAGTTGCATCTACCAAGGATCCTTTAAATCAGCGGCCCCCAACCTTTTGAGCACCAAGGACCAGTTCTGTGGGGAAAGGTTTTTCCATGGACTGGAGGGGGCATAGTTTAGCATATTACTTGCATCCCAAGAATCGGGCTTCATTTGTTTGTGTGGACCAGTTGTTGGCATGCTGCGGACCAGTGCCAGTCCACAGATCAGGTGTTGGGAACCCCTGCTCTAAATATATGAGGGTTAATAAATATAAGGCATCATATGATCTGTACTTATGAATTATTGTTAAGCAATGGGTTGTAGCCCTGCTAACATTTATTAGCAAAAACTGCAACTGCAAAGTGAGTCCTTTTCTTCTTACCTTTCCTTTCTATTATACCTCTATCTTCTGCAAAAAACAACAACAACCATAACAACAACATCAAAGCAGAAGTTTCCAATTTTTTTATTTATGCAATTCAGGCATAAATGAAAGTTCCACAAGGTGGTACACATCTCTTCCTTTGAAGATGTTGATGGCATAGAACTAAATAACAGGGGTTATTTAATTTATCTCATCTTTATTAGTTTGATAAGTAACTCAATATATCCAACACATCTTCTTCCTCCTATTCTCCCTATAATAACAACTTTGTGAGGTGGGTTTGGGCTGAGAGAAAGTGACTGGCCCAAAGTCTCCCAGTCCGCTCTTATGTCTAATAGCAATAGCAATAGCAGTTAGACTTATATACCGCTTCATAGGGCTTTCAGTCCTCTCTAAGCGGTTTACAGATTCAGCATATTGCCTCCACAGTTTGAGTCCTCATTTTACCCACCTCGGAAGGATGGAAGGCTGAGTCAACCTTGAGCTGGTGAGATTTGAACCGCCGAACTGCAGCTAACAGTCAGCTGAAGTGGCTGCAGTACTGCACTCTACCCACTGCGCCACCTCGGCTCCTAATGCGGGACTAGAACTCATAGTTTCTTCGTTTCTAACCTGGTGCCTTAACCACTTGACCAAATTGGCTCTCCATACATTAAAACGTAGTGGGCAAATTTTCATGAAATTATCAATGTTTTATTATTTACAGTCCCATGCTAATACATGTTAATGTTCCACTGCAAAATTCTACAACATTTGGAACAAAGCTATTGACATTTTGTAAGATAAGAGGCAAATATAAAGGAATAGAAAAGAAAGAGCAAAAGGAAAATACAAACATATGTGGAAAGCCATAAACATAAAATAAAATATAGCATAGAAGCCTTACCTATGCTTCTTTATAAAAAAACCAATTCTATACATTTATAGAATTAATTTATCCTTGGAAACTTGAGAAAGGGTCAATACAGTAAAACCTTCCTTCATATAAATTTTATTCTGAATCTGAATATTTCAAATTTGCAGTAAATGTATTTTACTATGTTTCTAAAATTTTATCTTAAGACTATGTTCAGCACAGATCTATTACTGTTGGTGTGCTACATTAATACAAAGCCTTTTATTTTCATTACCCCTAATATCAGGCATTTATAGTATCAGGCTACAGAAATGCTAAATATGAAAAATGCATGCCCTTCATATAATTTATCAGTTGCAATTAACATAATCAACAATTCTTTCAACTAGACACCTATAGAAATATATTTTTGAAAAAATATAGTTCATTTTTAGATCAAAGGTATTAAATATTGTTAGTTATCATAGTAAAAATCCTAAACCAGTTTCATTTATTAAATGAAGCATGCATAAATAATGCAAATGCATCATTTATATTTGTATTGAAGCAGTCATATTACTGAATAATACCCATTGAATACAAATTCAAGTGTAATCACTCTTACTTGCACAAAAATTTCTGTACATACTTTATATTTGTCTGCTTTTCAGAGAAAATTCAAATAATCCATTCATAATGTCTTTCAGATTAGGAACAGATGACAAGCAGCTCACTTGAAATGAAACTAACCTGTGCTAGATAAAATAGGATGTGTTCTTTCATCTGCACTGTAAAAACCAAATGCAGGAAATATGTATATAACTAAGAAACTAGATCTTTGATTAACACTACAATGATATACCTTCTTGCATACTAATTTCAAAATTTGAAGTGCATTCAAAAGGGGTAGCATGAGGGACTCAGAAGCAAGCATTTTCTTTTGGAGCTCCCCTCCCATCAAATCAACTGGCCCAGAAGATGACCAACCTATCATTAATATTTAGGAATTTGATGAAAATTTGGTTCTTTAGGCAGGCATTAGATTTACCTACCTACCTACCTACCTACCTACCTACCTACCTACCTATCATCTATTTATTTATCTACCTACCTACCTACCTTTCTTTCTGCATGTGCACCCACTGCCTGCAACACTCCAGCTGTTCAGTGGATCGTCACACAGGCATTGTATGCTCTGTGCACGTGCAAATTGGATCAAATACAGGTAAGGAGGGCAGGTGGGTGGGTGGGCCCTCCGGAGCACCATACCAGAACGATATTTGGTGATCCCAGCAGGCACCAGTATGCTTGTACCGGGCCATACCAGCTGTAACCCACCACTGGACACATCCCACAGTGGAAAGGGAAGATAATGATATTCCTTTCTTCCTGAAGTCTCCTGTACCCTTTAAAATCTGTGTCAAAGTATTTTGCTGCTGGCAGGGTGGGGTGGGAGGGAGAAAAGGATAATCTCAATATAGTACCAGAAATATGTTACACAATGTTGCATGTCACTTAAAATGTTGTTTTTCTTGTTCCTGCTGCTTATTTCAAGACTTGCATAAGTAAAATTCTCTGTATATAGAGACTTCTCAGTATATATAAAGTGGCATCTGACAAACTCTGCATAAACTTCCCATTGCAAGAAAAGTAGCTACTATCTGATACTCACTGAGAATAGCTCTAGAGATGGTGTAAGCAGCAAAGTGCCATCTTAACTAGTTTAAACTTCAAGAGGGGAAATACATCTCTAATACTATTGTCTATTAGTAACTCTTTCCATAAAGGAAAGTAAGAATAATTGTGATATCTCCACCATTAGACATTTTCACTAAAATCATTCCAATACTAAAAATGACAATTCACAAGGATATTTCATCTATTTCTGCTTTGTGTTTCTTATTTCTCACCTGCCTTCAGTAATATTGATTTGTTCATGGTATTCTTTTAATGTTTATGGATCTGTATGGTTTCTCCAATGCTTCTAAATACAGGTGGTCCTCGATGTATGACCATAACTGAGGCCAATATTTCTTTAGCTGCTAAGCGAGACAGTTGTGTGAATTTGCCCCATTTTACAACCTTTTTAGCACCAGTTGTTAACTGAGTCGCTGCTGTTAAATTAGTAACATGGTTGTAAAGTGAATCTGTCTAATGGTGGAGATATCACAATCCCCGTTGACTTTGCTTGTCAGAAGGTCACAAAAGTTAATCACATGACCCCAGAATGCTGCAAACATCGTAATTATGAACCAATTGCCAAGTATCCAAATTTTGATCACATGACTGGGGGATGCTGCAATGGCCGTGTGAAAAACGGCCATAAGTCACTTTTTTCAGAATCATCGTAACTTTGAATAGTTACTAAACAAATGATTGTAAGTCGAGGACTACCTGTAATAAACTTGTTTTTAATCAATGTTATTACTACAAGGAAATATTAATAGTGAAAGAAAAATAATGTTGAATATAAAGTAATATAAATTTATTGGCATAAGTCTACATTTACAATTATACAAAATTTGTTAACATAATTTATATTAATAGAAACACAAAAGAATTTTAAAAAGCAAGTATCAGATCATTATTAGTTTTAAACATCCTTTGTGAATTATGTTCTTTATATAAGGATTATTGCCATAATTAAAATGAACACTCTGTATTTTGTATAGACATATTTGTGGGGTGTATGTATGAATGTGAATGTATATACACATCCACATATACACCACCAATTATAATAGTGTATTTTAAACTTTATAAAATGTCATAATAATTGCTACCATCACACATCTATCTCTAACAGAATGAGTTCCTACCAGTTCAGACCAGTTCGGCTGGTCTGGTTCCCCCAGTTAGGGCAGAATGGTTTTTTCCCCAGTTTTTAATGTTCTGCACATGCACAGACCTATTTATGGGCAACTGTGCACGCCCGCAGAGCACGTGTCAGGCATGCATACAAAATTGCACACACATCAAACTGGCAGTAGTGCCGACTTCAACCCACCCCTGATCTCTATACTATATGAAAATGGTGTCAGTGAGATATTATTTTTGTTTATTTGTATTTTAAATAGTTATCTATATATATTTATATATGTAATAATAAAAAGTAAATTTAACATGCATGTAAAATGTTCACATAATAAATAGAAAGGAAAAATATTAACTTGATTTATATGAAGTGGTTTCTGAAATATATTTCTGGTGCAGAAAATAATATCTTTGCAGTATTTATAGATAATTCCTAAGGTAAAAATACTTTCAAAAATTACCTTACTTGAGAAATGTAGAGGATGAACTATTTAACTCAGTAGAATGGCTGATCTGTATAGACTTGCAAAAGAACATGTTTTATTCTGACAGAATAATGTAATGTAGTGCTTAATATGTTGGATTTGGACTAGAGAAAAACAAGTCTATCAGCAGCTATAGAAAATTTTGCTGGGTAGCTTTATGCCAGTTACTTTTTCACAGAGTTGTAGGAGAAAAAATGATGGGAAAGCCCCATCTAACCTGGGTTAGACAAAAGATGAGATACACATTCAGCAAATAACTAACTATAAATATAGTCATGAAAAGAGAGGGGGGACCTTACCTCTGTCACAATTTAGTTCATCACTGTTATCCACACAATCTTGAATTCCATCACAAAGCCATCTGATAGGTATACAGTATGCTTTATTTTTACATTGAAATTGGTCTTCTTTACATTCTGTTATACAGTGCATCTGTGTAAACATATATTCATATATAGCAGTGAGTATTACCAATCAAGTAACAGAAGTATAATTGGAGCAACCAGAATTCAGCAAAACAAATTTAATAATTTAATCATTGGTATTTTGTATTGATAAGACTATGATCATCACAGAATATAAAATATTACATTCACAATTTTTAACTGGAAATAATCAATTTTCAAAAGCTCCTTGGCAATAAAGATAACTTATTCTTTTCCCTATTATCCACATCTCCATATACTCTTAATAAATACATTTTGAAGATTAGGTATCTTTAAGGAAAATCCAGGGGATTATAATTAAGCTTACTGTATTTTTCAGAGTATAAGATGCACCTTCCCCCCCAAAAGAGGGCAAAATTTGGCTGGGTCTTATACACCCAATATAGACCCACCCACCCACCTGCCCCCACCCTTTGGCCTCTGCCTCCCAGCAATTTACCTCCTTGCAGCAAACGGAGAAAACGGGGCTTGCAGAGGGGGCAATAGGCTATGGGAATCCCTGCAGCTTGAAACAGCTGATCATTGGGAGCCCCGTGCTTAAACTGAATTTGAAAGTGAAACTTGTGTTTGCTGCAACAAGGCAAATTGCTGGGTGGCAGAGGCAGATTTTTTTTTCTTTTAATCAGACTAAATGGAAACAGGCTGTTTGCTGCAAGGAAGTAAGTCAATTAGTATAAATGCCTATAGAATGTTACAATTATTAGACTTATTTTTGAAAGACTGCTTTATTATTGTTCTAGACAACTTAACAAAACGAAGAAGTTTTTTAAAATAAATGCTTTATCTGATGAGGCCCAGTGCTATTGTATCTTCTTTTAAACAGCAGAGAATAATGTATACTTCCAGAAAGCCACATCAATTTTAACAGCATCTGTACAAGTATAGTCTGAAATGTAATATCACAAACAGTGTACCTTCTATACTGTTTGCTGTTTGGGGCAAAGAGGCAAATTGTTGGGAGGCAGAGGCAGATTTTTATTCTTTTTTTCCTCCCCAAAGGTAGGTGCATCTTATACTTCGGAGCATCTTATACTCCGAAAAATATGGTATATAGTAAAGCAATTCTTCTGCACCACTGAGAAAATGCCCACTAATTCTTATTCACAAAACAATCAGCCACACAGTTTTAAAAACTGTTCTTTATTTATTTATTAATGCATTATTTTGGGAAAACAAAATCATGTAACTGAAAACAAAAATGAAAAATGAAATTATTTCAGTATAAAGATTTTTAAAAAAAAAAACAATAAAAACAAGAAAGGATTTATATACAGTTATAATAAAATTAAATTTGCAACCTAGCCAACTAATTTTTTATTGTAACATTAATACTCATTAGTTTACTAACTGCAGAATTTTACTAACTATTGGATCTATGTTTTCTGGATAAATTGCTGAATCAACAGTTATTCTACAGGATTGTTATTTTAAATTCAAATTTATAAACTTGTAAAAGAAAACATTAGATCAGATTAAAATATTTAATGTCTTACTTCATCGGAACCATCAGGACAATCATATTCTCCATTGCATCTAAAAGATGCTGAGATACAACCTCCATTGGCACAGACATATTCACTTGAAGAGCAGGTTGGAAATTCTGTTTAAGACATAATATTGAGAATAGGCAGATGAAATAACATAATTTCAGATAAT